ATAGCCTACGAGCAGACCTGCAAAGCCTGCCATAGAACAAGGCAGAGGAAAAGGAAGAAGTGGATCACAGATGATACCTGAGAAGCCATTGAAGACACTCTGAAGAAGAAAGTCTTTGAGGCCAAGAGAAAGAGAGATAAATCAACAGTAGAGGGAAGAGAGTGACAAGAACAGACAAGCAGATACTCATGAACGAGCTTACAAGCCAGGCAGAAGATATAGCAGGTAGGGCAGAGCAAGACAGAGTGAAATTCGGAACAAACAAACCACCACCAGCAGACGCAGATATACAACAGGCAGCGAGAGACCTGGATGTGAACACTAATCCCCCAGGAAAAGATCAGAGCAGCCATCAAGTCTCTCGAGAACGAAAAATCCCCTGGACAGGACAATCTCGGTGCAACCGACGCATAGCAAGTTGACTTGAAGGTCAGCCAAAAGGATACAGAAGTGATGCTGTTGAAGGTTTCCAACCCTAAACCAGTTCATGTTAACAGAGAAGACCTGACAACACCTGAGGAGTTCTCTTTCCCGGGCAGCACGGTAAGGTATGATCGAGGAGCAGGGAGTGACTTCAACAACCGTCTCAACAAGGTCAGAAACGCCTTCAGAATGCTCAACAACCTGTGGAAGTCCTCTCAGTACAGCACCAAACCCAAGCTGAAGATGTACCAAAGCTGTGTGATGTCCACGCCATGATATGGCTCTGAATGCTGGAAGAGGACAGAGAGCGAAATCACCAGGCTGTAAGTCTTCCACACAAAGAACCTCAGGAGAATCCTGCGAGTCTTTTGGCCTGACACCATCTCTAGCCAACGGCTACTTGCCCGCTGCAATCAAGACAGCATGGAGACCATCATCATGCGAAGGTGATGGAGATGGATTGGGCACGTCATGAGGAGAGAGCAGGATCACATCACTCGCACAGCCCTTCACTGAACACCTGAAGGAAAGGAGAAGAGGCCATGCAACACACCTGCAGTACCATCCAGAAGCTGGCCCGGAACCGACACACGTTGCGATCCTTCATAGCCGCCCTACGTGCCACACGGCATGATGGGCACGAGTGAGTGAATGTGCTATCACAATTCTTGGACATTTTTTTCATTTTTATTGAATGTATTGGTATTATTTATTGAATGTATTGGTATTGGTATGAGGAAGCATATCCAGATGAGATAGTAGTTATCATAGTAGCCAAGATGGTGATTATCTATATAGTAGTCCAGACGATTATTCAGATAGTAATGTTAGTTATTAGAGTAGCTTTATAGATGATAGTGAACAAAATGATGATGCTTCTTACTTCGATGACCAAGACGATATGTATACAAAATACTCATACATAATATTTATACAAAATAAACAAGATATTTTGATGATGGCAACATATTAGAGGCAGAAGAGGAATTACTTCATATCAAATACGATTTAAGAAAACCAAGGATAACCCCTGATAATATTTTAGCATGTAATATTTATGTAGTATTATAATAAAATGTTTATCAATCAAATAATTCATGGTGAATTGGACAAGGTAATATCTCCCTTCTGTTATAAACAAATAAAGGAACGATCAGTCATTACAGAAAAATGTTGGGAGGAACAGTACCTCGAGAATTAACCCCATGTGATTGTGTGCACCAATTGTGGGCAAGTAGACGGCTATGAACCAATGAAAGAGTTTTGCAGCCTCCATGATAATAGGTGTAAAATAATACTTCAGTATTTCAGGAAATACTATCTTAATAAGGTAACATTTAATCTAACCAAATAGTATGACATAATAATAACAACAAATAGCAAAAATAAGATCATAACAGTCTTTGAAAAGATAGACAACGTATTACCACAGATTAATGGTAATAAAAAACGGATGATCAATATCAATTTCATTGCGATATCAAATGATATGCAAATATATATAGATTACAAAAAAATTATCAGATCCAAGAAAACCCTTTAATATTATCACAGCCACTAGAAAACTATATTGAAGCTGATTAGTAATGACCAAAACAAAATCAGAAGTAAACTACTTCTCGAACTGTTGCTCTAAAGCATCAACCAGTGAACACATGTCTATGATAATATGATCTAGTTTTCAATTGGTCCAAATAACTCTCCTTATCAAATGACACTCCTCTTAAAAAGAACCTTAACTTAATGAGTGTCTTTACACAGGTAATACAAGCAAATCGACAGAATTCGATCTTCTTTTTAAAATCTTTCATTTGACAGTGCGTTTTTTATATCAAAGCACTATCAAGTATAATGCCAACTACGATGGGACTTGTAGTTACCCCTCCACCTATAGTACCACTCACTATTAAACAAGATGATGGCATATTGCATAAAAGATCTAGTGTCATGAACCTCTTATTGAGCTTCTTTACACAATCAAACCGTTTGTGATAGTATTTGTATAATAATGTTATTTCACTTATTGGGTTTTTGTTCAATGATATGATTGGTTTTTTTAAGACCCTCCAAAACCTGGTGAACCACGTATACAAATTACTCTGTTTTGTCAGTCTTGTATCAGCACCAGAAAAGATAACCATACATATAATATGTGATTATACTAAATTAATTGATTTATTAATAAAAATCTGACAGTAAGAACCACCATCCGACATTCCTTGAGCTGTTTGAATCCTTACTTCAAATTCAGCAGTTGTACTAATGGGATAAAAAGCAGTTATGTCTGTACATTTATTGTTTGTGTCTTCAATATATAGACGAACAAAATATTAGGATTGACGCTCCAAGGATTTATATGTATATTACACGATGGGCCTTTGTATCTGTCTTGAAAATGTATCTCATAAATAACAGATATGTCAAGAGTTATATGACCAGTTGATGTTTCGAAAGAGAAATATGCCCTATTTGATATTAAATCACTAGCTCCGCTTGTGAGAAATACTACTATTATACTATTACTATTATCATGTGAAAGGTAAATATATAGATTTAACCAAGCCTAAAGGTGGATCTCGCATTTTTTTTTTCTCCCCGCACGCTTCAAGGGCACACCGCCTTGCCCTGGCCAGGACTAGAACCCGGGTCGTCCTCTATCGTTGCCTTTCATATCAAGACGTCAATACGTCTTAAGTAAAAGTTTTCCTGTCAGCATATTTCTTGTTAACCTCATCTTTATCACCGTTTTCACTGGTGTCATAATCTGGTATTAACAACCTGCATTTTAATGTTTGGGGTAACAGATTGTCCATATCTTTTTTCTTGCCTGTGACGTGTTTCATCGGCCTTAAGGTTACAGCCCCATTATCATATTGTGTTCTACTGAGGTCATAAATGGTCTTACCGTCAGCATCCCATCTGATACCAATTCCCAATTTCAACAATTGGTTATCATCACTTTTCTTTCTGCATCTTTTCTCATTAGATACCCTATTAACAGCATTAGTATTTGAGAAGTGAGTGTGTGCAAGGTCTTATTACGGTTGTTATATGTGTTTCTATCACCTTTTTACTTCCGTTTCACTTTTGATAGCTGACTTAAAACTTTGCACACAGTGCTCGGCTAGACCATTGCTAGAGGGATGGTATGTTGCAAGTGAAGGATGTTTGCTTCCGTATCTCTTGATATCTCTTGAGGAACATCTGAAAGTCCTCAGATATAAACTGTGGCCCATTGTCACCAACTTACTGGGATGGCACACCATATCTAGTGAATAGACTCTGCAATTTCTCAATGGTTTTCGTTGAGGTCGTGGTGTCCTTTTTTTTCTATTTCCAGTCTTCTCGAATGGGCATCCATAACAATCAAAAACATGCAGCCGAGGAAAGGTCCAGCAAAATCAACATGGATTCGCTGTCAGGGTGCCGACGGCCATTCGCATAGATGTATAGCTCCGGTACTAGGTTCAGCCTCCATTAGCTGCCAACCCGAGCAGGTCCTCGCGGCTTCATCCCTTCAAGATGTCCTCGATGGAGTTCTTCAGGCGCTTGTGGACAAAGTTATGGGGGTACAATGACTCTGATTTCCCGCATCAAACAGCCTAAGTGTACTCTTATCTCGTCCCTGCAAGCGTAGAAGGGGTTGACTACAGGAACATGGCTGGTTAGCCATCCTTTACCCACCATCTCATGGACTTGACCCAGGACAGGGGGCCTTTGGGCTTATCTGGTAACGGCTCCAATTGTTTCATATTGAAAACATTCACTGCATCCACAACTTTTTCTGCTCTTTCTTTGGTTTTAAGTGGTAGCCGAGAAAGGCCGTCTGCACTGCTGTGCACTTTACTATTCTTATACCCGAATTGGTGGTCGTAGCCAGCCATGAATGATGCATAGCGCCGAAGCCTGGCTACTGTAATTACTGGAACGCTCCTTCGTGGATGGAAGATCGATCTTAACGGCTAGCGATCGGTGTAATGGTGAAATATTTTTTCAGTTTTCTGAGTGTCCTGGAAGCAAAAGCAATGGGTGTCTCAGTCTTTCATCACGTGGGATAGCACGGCACCAATTCCCACAGGGCATGGATCGCAAGGAAGCCTTCGTGGGAGAGTGGGATCATATTGTGTTAATATTTGCTCTGAGGTGATCATTTCTTTCAGGTTGTGGAATGCTGTTTCGCATCGTTCCGTCCATTTCCATAGAGAGTTGTTCTCTAACAACTGGTTCAGTCTGTAGTAGTAATTGACTAGCACCGGGAACAACCTTACCTCAGCTACATTGCATGGACGAGGCGCTTTGAAAAGTGCTTGCACTTTCTCTGGCGACTTGTGGCTGGGACAGGCACATTTTGTGTGTCCCATTCACTCCCCTTCACTTTAGTGAGAATATTTTAATTCTGGAGTGTTCACAGCTCTTTGTCCTACTTTGGCTTAAATGCCTCTGGCATGAGTCTAATGTTGAGGAACTGTGCTTAGCTACCAACTTCAAGAGTTAACTTCCCTTTAGCTGATGAAAGGGTGCCCAGTTTATTTTCAATAACATCTGAGTACTTGTCTAGCATAACGTCCAAACGCTCTTTAGTATTTGAAGTAGCTAGTGAAGCCTGTAGCAACTTGATAGAGCCAATCTCTTCCCAAGAGAGCAGGGCCATTATTCTTGACAACATACAGGTCCAGCAACTCTCTTTGGGTTTTGGACAGGCACAGGCACAGGCACAGGCAAAGGCACAGGCACAGGCACAGGCACATTGAGCACTCCCACTGGCATAATATTTTCTCTGCTGCAGGTTTTCAAGGACGGTCCAGTATTGTGCAGGATAAGCCTGTTAAATTTCTGCTGGTAGAGATCAAACAAGATGATCGACACAGCCATACATGTGTCCAGTTCCATCTTAAGTGGTTTACCATCAACATCCAAATCAACCCAGATAATATCATTGCTCTGTTTCCTTACATTGCGTACCTCGAGGGTGGCTAAGATGTCTTCATGAGCATCAACTTCAACCTCAACAGGACGTACGTCAGGGGTTTTGGTTCCTCGCTGGAGCTTTACTTGCTGTTTGGAAGGACAAACCTGCTGAATATGGCCCTCTTTTCCACAGTGGTGGCAAACCTGGACCTTATATAAATAACTGAGTGTCATATGTGTGTTCACACCACAGCGGTGGCACTGGGGAGCAATGGCCGGCTTCGTTGATGGTGGTTGTGTTCAGTCAACCTGTCTATTTGGTACCATAGACTCATTGTATGTTGTAACCTGCATGCCACTACCAACTGACTTTAGTGGTGGAAGAGTTGGTGGCGGTTAATTTCTCTATCAGCCATAAAAGCCATTCAATATTCCTTTGGATCAGCAAGAATAGCCTTAATGACTGACGTAATGGCCTGTTAGTCTAAAACTTGACACAAGTTCCACTTTGGAATATAAGGAAAGAATGCTACATCATCTGCATATCTTTTAGAAATACTGATACTTAAGGTTAAAGTTTAGATATAAATAAGGAGTATATAATTGAATTATATGGGAATGTTAAAACATCCATACACACTATTGTACATTGAGTTTGGTTATAACAAGTAACTGTGTACCGTAGTTCTCATCTTAAAATACACATCTTACTAAAAATAATAAAACACTTATGAGGAGTTAAAGGGGGTTTTGAAAGAGCTCTTGTTTCCTCGATGGGACAGCTTTAACTCTCTAACTCCCGTAAGTAACCAAGACAGAAGTTCTCCTTACAGTGTCTGCTAAATACGCTTTCTCCATCACCCAAAAAAACTCTCTCTCACAGAAAACCTTCCTAGGTGCTTTGTTTTTGTTGCGCTGTTTTTACCCTACTTACACTAACACTGGTTTTCTAGCTTCTTTACAAGTTATTAAAAGATTTTAGCTTCATCTCAGCTGAAAACCGAGTAGCTGCATTTTTTTAAAGCTAAACTACCCTATTTTCAGCCTTTTTACACGGAATAAAGATTTTTTTCCTGTTAGCAGCTAATCACGCTGATTCATTTGATGTATCGCTCAAAAGAACGTTTCTATTATTTTGGTGGAAGTTTACGAGTTTTAAAGGTTTTTAGACCGATCGCTAGCCGTTAAGATCGATCTTCCATCCACGAAGGAGCGTTCCAGTAATTACATTAGCCAGGCTTCGGCGCTATGCATCACTCATGGCTGGCTACGACCACCAATTCGGGTACAAGAATACTTAAGTGCACAGCAGTGCAGATGGCCTTTCTCGGCTACCACTTAAAACCAAAGAAAGAGCAGAAAAAGTTGTGGCTGCAGTGAATGTTTTCAATATGAAACAGTTGGAGCCGTTACCAGATAGGTTGAAAACGTCCGAAGAGAAGTCCAAAGGCCCCCTGTTCTGGGTCAAGTCCATGGGATGGTGGGTAAAGAATGGCTAACCAGCCATGTTCCTTTACTCAACCCCTTCTACGCTCGCAGGGACGAGATAAGAGTACACTTAGGCTGTTTGATGCGGGAAATCAGAGTCATTGTACCCCCAAAACTTTGTCCACAAGCGCCTGAAGAACTCCATCGAGGACATCTTGTAGGTATGAAGATCAAGGCCCTACCAAGAAGATACATCTGGTGGCCAGGAATCCACAAGGAAATCGAGGAAGCCGCGAGGACCTGCTCGGGTTGGCAGCTAATGGAGGCTGAACCTAGTACCGGAGCTATACATCTATGCGAATGACCGTCGGCACCCTGAGAGCGAATCCATGTTGATTTTGCCGGACCTTTCCTCGGCTGTTTGTTTTTGATTGTTATGGATGCCCATTCGAGAAGACCGGAAATAGGAAAAAAAGGACACCACGACCTCAACGAAAAACATTGAGAAATTGCAGAGTCTATTCACTAGATATGGTGTGCCATCCCAGTAAGTTGGTGACAATGGGCCACAGTTTACATGTGAGGACTTTCAGATGTTCCTCAAGAGATACAGAAGCAAACATCTTTCACTTGCAATATACCATCCCGCTAGCAATGGTCTAGCCGAGCACTGTGTACAAAGTTTTAAGTCAGCAATGAAAAGTGAAACGGAAGTAAAAAGGTGATAGAAACACAAATAACAACCGTAATAAGACCTTGCACACACTCACTTCTCAAATACTAATGCTGTTAATAGGGTATCTAGTGAGAAAAGATACAGAAAGAAAAGTGATGATAACCAATTGTTGAAATTGGGAATTGGTATCAGATGGGATGCTGACGGTAAGACCATTTATGACCTCAGTAGAACACAATATGATAATGAGGCTGTAACCTTAAGGCAGATGAAACACGTCACAGGCAAGAAAAAAGATATGGACAATCTGTTACCCCAAACATTAAAATGCAGGTTGTTAATACCAGATTATGACAGCAGTGAAAACGGTGATAAAGATGAGGTTAACAGGAAATATGCTGACAGGAAAACTTTTACTTAAGACGTATTGACATCTTGATATGAAAGGCAAGGAGTGTTTAATGTTGGTGATGTTAATTGTTTTCAATAGAGGACGACCCGGGTGCTAGTCCTTGCCAGGGCAGGGCGTTGTGCCCTTGGAGCGTGCGGGGAGAAAAAAAAAATGCGAGATCCACCTTTAGGCTTGGCTAAATCTATATATTTACTTTTCACATGATAATAGTAATAGTATAAGAGTAGTATTTCTCACAAGTGGAGCTAGTGATTTAATATCAAATAGGGCCCATTTCTCTTTCGAAACATCAACTGGTCATATAACTCTTGACATATCTGTTATTTATGAGATACATTTTCAAGACAGATAAAAAGGCCCATCGTGTAATATACATATAAATCCTCGGAGCGTCAATCCTAATATTTTGTTCGTCTATATATTGAAGATACAAACAATAAATGTATAGACATTACTGCTTTTTATCCCATTAGTATAACTGCTGAATTTGAAGTGTTCCTCCCAACATTTTTCTGTAATGACTGATCGTTCCTTTATTTGTTTATAACAGAAGGGAGATATTACCTTGTCCAATTCACCATGAATTATTTGATCGATAAACATTATATTATAATACTACATAAATATTACATGCTAAAATATTATCAGGGGTTATCCTTGGTTTCCTTAAATCGTATTTGATCTGAAGTAATTCCTCGTCTGCCTCTAATATGTTGCCATCATCAAAATATCTTGTTTATTTTGTATAAATATTATGTATGAGTATTTTGTATAGATATCGTCGTGGTCATCGAAGTAAGAAGCATCATCATTTAGTTCACTACCATCTATAAAGCTACTCTAATAACTATCATTACTATCTGAATAATCGTCTGATACATAATCACCATCTTGGCTACTATGATAACTACTATCTCATCTGGATATGCTTGCTCATATTCTGTGTATACCAATACATCTAATAAAAATGAAAAAAATGTCCAAGAATTGTGATAGCACATTCACTCACTCGTGCCCATCATGCCGTGTGGCTATGAAGGATCGCAACGTGTGTCGGTTCTGGGCCAGCTTCTGGATGGTACCCCATGTGTTGCATGGCCTCTTCTCCTTTCCTTCAGGTGTTCAGTGAAGGGCTGTGCGAGTGATGTGGTCCTGCTCTCTCCTCATGACGTGCCCAATCCATCTCCATCACCTTCGCATGATGATGGTCTCCATGCTGTCTTGATTGCAGCGGGCAAGTAGCCGTTGGCTAGAGATAGTGTCAGGCCAAAAGACTCGCAGGATTCTCCTGAGATTCTTTGGGTGGAAGACTTACAGCCTGGTGATTTTGCTCTCTGTCCTCTTCCGGTATTCAGAGCCATATCATAGCGTGGACATCACACAGCTTTAGTAGATCTTCAGCTTGGTATTAGAGCTGTACTGAGAGGACTTCCACAGGTTGTTGAGCATTCTGAAGGCGTTTCTGACCTTGTTGAGACGGTTCTTGATGCCCGTGCTGCCCAGGTAAGTGAACTCCTCAGGTGTCGTCAGGTCTTCTCTGTTAACATGAACTGGTTTAGGGTTGGAAACGTTCAACAGCATCACTTCTGTATCCTTTTGGCTGACCTTCAGGTCAACTTGCTATGCGTCGGGTTGTCTTTTCCTGCACGTCTTTCTTGAGTCTGAGAGACCAACGCTAGATCATCTGCAAAATCTAGGTCCTCCATCGTGGGGGAAGAGGGTCCATCCGATACCTCGTGACCGAACTTCAACTGTGGGCCTCATTACTAAGGTAATGGTCAGGTTGAAGAGCATCGCGGACATTGTACAGCCTTGTCTGACGGCAGACCTCACTCCAGAGCTGGTTTCGCTGCTACTCTGCATGTAGTAGTTGCAGAAGCCTTTGATGATGTCGATAATCTGTTGTGGCATGCCATTGACCCGAAGGATGCGCCACAGACCTTCCCGGTGAACGCTGTCAAAAGCCTTCTCAAAGTCTACAAGTTGATATAGAGTTGCCTCTGGCACTCTGTGCACTGCTCTAGAATGTTACGCAGGATAAAGATCTGGTCTGTGCATCCCTTTCCTTTTCAAAAGCCTGCGTGCTCTCTTCTAAGGTGTTGGTCCACTGTCTCGGCTATTGGCTGGATGATGATCTTGGCCAGGATCTTGCTGGGTACAGATAGTAAGGTGATTCCTCGCGACATGTTGCAGTTTTTGAGGGCACCTTTCTTCAGAATCTTCACAATGGCTCCCTCTGTCCGATCTTCAGGCAACTTCTTCTCCTCCCAGATGTCTCTAAAGAGCGGCTGAAGTAGGTCAGCTGCTAGCTGTGGATCTGCTTTAAACACTTCTGCACCGAGATTGTCCTGTCAAGGGGATTTTTCGTTCTCCAGAGACTTGATGGCTGCTCTGATCTTTTCCTGGGGTATTAGTGTTGACATCCAGGTCTCTGGCTGCCTCTTGTATATCTGCTTCTTCTCGTGGTGGTTTGTTTGTTCCAAATTTCACTCTGTCTTGCTCTGCCCTGCCTGTTACATCTTTTGCCTGGCTTGCAAGCTCGTTCATGAGTATCTGCTTGTCTGTTCTTGTCACTCTCTTCACTATTTGGCTCGCTTCCCTCTACTGTTGATTTATCTCTCTTTCTCTTGGCCTCAAAGACTT